AACCCTAACCCTAGCTCTCAACATAGACCTCAACATAGCCCTAATCGTAGGTCTAACCCTAACCCTCTAATCCTAACCCTCACCCTCACCCCAGCCCTAGCCCTAACCCTAAATGTAACCCTAACCCATAACTCCGAACCCCGAACCCAAACCCCTAACCCTAGCTCCAGCCCCTAACCCTACATTCTCCAGGCACTATTTGGGAAGATCGAACTTTCTTCCTGAGTCCTCTGGGGTTTCATTGTTTTCAGCTCAAAATAATCCGCATGTCAGAATAACATTTTTGGAGTGGCAACTTTTGCTCCCCTACAAAGGCATGCAAAACATCTGCCAGAAACTCGAGATACCTAACATTCAGACCCTTGCCCTAAAATACCTCATGACAGCCTATCTATTTGTTGGACCCCGCCCTTAAACAGCTCCGATTTTAAGGAACTTTCTGACTCACATTAGAATCCGTCACATTACTCACAGGGCAAATTTTAACAAAATCATGGCTGTATGTCTATAAGCCCCTGACTCCATCTCCCCAGAATTTTTTCAGTTTTACCTGAATCTGTTTCTTCGTTTGCAACTTTTCTTTATTGTGCTTTAAATTTTTTCTTCAAATTTTTCATAGTTTTTAAAGGTTACTTTCCACATTTACATTTTTTACAAAATATCGCCTATATCCCCGTGTTGTACAGTACATCCTTGAGCCTCTCTTATACCCAATACCTTGTACCTCCCACTCCCCCACCCCATTGTTGCCCCTCCCCCAGCTCTGGTAACCTGGTAACCACTAGTTTGTTCTCTGTATCTGTGAGTCTGCTGCTTTTTTCTTGTATTTACTAGTTTGTTGTATTTTTTAGATTTCACATATAAGTTATATCATACAGGAGTTGTCTTTCTCTGACTTATTGCACTTAGCATAATGCCCTCCAAGTCCATCCATGCTGCTGCAAATGGCAAGATTTAGTTCTTTTTATGACTGAGTAGTGTTCCACTGTATCACATCACGTCTTCTTTATCCATTCCTCTGTTGATGGACACTGAAGTTGCTTCCAGGTGCGGGGCTGACCTGTCCCCATGCACCAGCAGCCCAGGATGGTCTCAGTGTTTCTCCTTTCTCTCTGCAGGGGCTTTTCCCCATAAACACCTCAAATCTTTAAAAACTATGGTGTGCCCCTAAAACTGTGCCCCATGGGGTTAACAGAAATTCGTGACTAATGGAACTTCTTGAGCTTGTCCTACAGAACACTAGGCAAGGGTCCAGCTTATTAAAAATCCCTTCACTTGTAACCTGCCTTCACTGACCAAGCTCACCTTAATTATTTTTTGACTCCTTAACCACCCCTATAGATAATGCCTCTTGACATCTGGGTTGCTGTAGTAACAGGGGCTTAAATTGTTTTCCAGGAACTTGGAGTAGGCTCCAGTTCAAGCCAGCTAAAACTAGTTGCAACCACTGACCTTAAAACTGGGCCTGCACAGGTGTCTGGTGACATCTGATGAACAACCAATCAGGGCCCGAAACCACCACCCTCAGACTATGCTAAGTGCCTCCACCTTCAAACACACATGTGACTCAGATACCTTTCCCCTACCTCCAATCTCCTTTCCCCACCCCCCAAAACCACCCTGCTTCCTCATCTCATAAATATCTCAGGCGCCTTGCCTTCAAGGAAGTGGCTATGATATTTGTTCTCCTGGGTCCTCGTTTGGCTGTCTCGTGACCTCAGCGTCTCAGCATCTGCCTCCTGTGTGAGGGGCAGACGAGCTTGGTTTTGAAACACCGTAAGTAAGAGCTACTTTACCCGGAGTCACAGAGCAGGGGTGCTTTTATAAAATACATCCTGCCGGAGGAACTACACAAGAAAGTAAAGATACACCCCGGGACACAGGCCAGAAAACCAGGCTTCTGTGCTCACTACTGAATGCAACATCTCTGGGGAAGCGGGGAGGCTGCAGCAAACCTCCCTCCTGCGCACTCGAGGCTGCCGCCCCCAAACTGAACTCCAGTGTGATTACAGAAAGAGAAAGCGGCACAGGCCGTCTGCAGTATACTCCAGCACCAGAAAGGGCGCCCTCACCCCACCACGCCAGCACCCTGATCTCAGACTTCCGCCCTCAGAACTGTGAGAAATAAATGCTTATTGTTTACAAGCCACCTAAAATACCCAACTGGTGTTTTGTGATAGCAGTCCCGAGGAACTAAGATAATCAGCAGTGATGTTTAGAGAATTTTGGACTTTGAAACGGAAAAAGAAAAAAGCTCATTTACAATTTGTAAGTCCAGACCATAACCCTCTGACCTTCGACCCTAAATCCTGACCTTGGCCATGCCTAACCCCAAGCCCAACCCTAAACCCTCACCTCATCCCTTGCTGCCCAATTACCTTGTATTTACCCATTTTCATATTAGAAAATTGTGCCAAAAAACTACCCACAGACACTTGTGTAGTCAGAGCAAGCCACTTTCTCTTTGGCTATTCCAACTTCCTGTGTTTAATTATGTGTGCTAGAATGGTACAGAATTCAGCAAAAATACAAATAATGAAAGAAAATACATGATTCGGGGGGGCGGTTAGTTTATTTTTTTTAAGATTTTTGAAAAAAAGAATATGTAGCCCAGAATTTCAATTCCACACAGGAAACAGAAGCAATGCCAAGACGGCTCAGGCGTCTTCACTACCTTTACAGGTACCCTTTGTGTACTAGCTCATGAGAATCTTTTGTTTCTAATTTCTTCCATTAATTCCCTGACAGTTCCAAACTGGCAAAAATGTCTTTAAATACACAGTTGATTTCTACATCACCTACTCAGTATTTATAAATTCATTTGTTTTGCCTATGTCTATGGCTTTACTACTTTAGGACAAAACTCACATAGGAAAATACAGACCCCTCAGAGCACAGCAGTCAGCAGCTGTCTAGAATGTGGTTTACAAATACAGAGCTTGCAGCCAGCACAGACTATACATAATTCATCTATTTGAAAACAGAAGTAGTGTCTCACACCAAACTCTGGTGTAAGGTGCTTAAGCACACGAGAATTCACTTATGATTCTCCTTTATGTTTACAAGATAAACAGCCAACCATTGCACATATATTATATCTATGTATTTTTTAAAACAAATTCTGGTCTAAAAAATCACAAACTGACAATACATAAATACAAAATGTTAGGAAAGGTTTAACATACATAGGGGAAAACATGTCTTACGCACTGTAAAGAGTTTTTACAATCTAGCATAAAGGCAAATACGGTTTTGAAAAAAAATGAAATCCATACAGGGGAAAATCAGTCGAGCCACCTAATAGCAGATTTCATAGATACCATTTACTTAATATTATCTCCCAAACGTCCACGTATTGCAGAGGCCTCTACAAGTCAGTCAGAGTAATGTCAATAAGACCCGCAAACTGAAGTGTTAGCAGATAAACAGAACGCATGCTCCTCCTCTGAAAGAGGTTTGACTTCCAGTTAAAAAGCAGGTAAACACAACTGTGAAGTAAACTTCTTCACAACAGCTTAAATTTACACATCTAGGGCAATACACACGTTTTCCCAGCTATGCACGCACACAGTGTTCTGTGATGAAATGACTCGGTTACTAAAAAATAAAAGCATAAAAGGTAAAAAACATAACTAGAACTCAGTTAAGCTGGCGAAACCAGAGACACTGAACCCCAGCAACACCCATGAAGCTAAGGGATAAACTTAATCACAAACTCTGGACGATGAATCCTCCATCAGCACTGATTCTGGGTTTACTGTTAACATTTCCTACTGGTCTTTGGGTAAAATTAAAAAGTCTGAAAAGAACCAATGTTTTGGAAGAAGCAGTATCACCGGTAAACATGCTACCACCTGCCTGACCTGATGGCTTTTTCTTCCAGACCCACGACCTGATGAAGGTAGAAAGTTAGGCCTGGAGAAGACAGTTTCCAAAGTCACTGAGAGTTAAACTGTTCTAATGAAATGGAGCTACTAAAATACATGTTTGTTCTTAAGAAAAACTACAAAACTAATGAATCTTTTTCTCCAGAATTATAAAAGATAAAATCTACCAATCAGTATTACAATGATTACAGAAAAATAGCCAACTGAATTTAAAAAAAAAAAAGGTTCGGGCTGCCTGTACCATGGCCCCCACCCTACTTCCTGCAACCAGCATCTTCCACCTGCGCCGAGGACTAAGCAGGCAGTACACCCGCTACTACTGAAAGTAGGATCAACAGTCAGCCCTGACCCTGGGGGGAGTAACACAGCTCATCACATTCGCTTTAGTCCTCAGGGCATGCTCTGAGGCGTTACCCAGTACTGGTTCTTTTAAAGGTAACAAAACATGTCAGGAAAACACTCTTTGGAATTCTTCTGGAATTCCAGAAAGACACCTGGCACTTGGATACTTAAGCTCCTCCTCCCACATCACAATTTTTCTTTCTTAACATTACAACTGATGACTCCCATTAAGATTTAATTAACTTTCTTAGAATAAGGGAAGGCTTTTCAACGTCTCCCCCTCTAGATAACTAAAGGTTCAGTGAAACTCAGTGCCAGAAATTAAGAGGTTGATACGGTAAAATTCAAACCTGGACACAGGTGTCCCACCCAGAAGAGGTTTTACACACTTATGCTTTGTCTCACATTCTGTAAGCAACACAGGTTAACTTCAACCTCAGTTTTCACTTTTGATGCAAATATGGGCACCTCCCGTGAGAGCAGGTCAACAGCCGTCTCCATGTGAGACCGCAGCGTTTCCTGAGAGCGGAAAGGCACCCCTTCTCCAGGAGATCCTCCCCCTTCTGAGAACACGTTCTCCCTACAACTGCTTTTGTCGGTCAGACTATGTTTAAAGAAATCAGACCAATGAATGAAACTCTAAAGGACAGTCAGAAACAGACCAGAAGCAGAAACACAGAGTGTGGAGCTGCTCCTTCCCCGCTGCACCTGCTCCAGGCGGCCCTCGGGGCGGAAGGCCGCCTGTCCCCGAACCACAGACTTACTTTTCCCTGTAATAAAGCAGGTAGTATTTCAGGGGGTCTGGCAGCGGGAGGCTCAGGACCTTCTCACGCAAGAAGTTCACCGGGGGGTCTGGCTTTGTTTCTGATGGGGTTTTCACCTCTTCTTCCCGCCGGTCCTCCTCCAAGTCTTCACAGCTGGTATCGTCAGAGGGGTTGGAAACCCGACTGGCAAAGACCTCCTTGTCCAAAAAGACAATGGTTTCCATGCGGCGGCGGCGAACTCGCCTCCGTTTGAACTTGGGAGTGTTCTTCAGCCCATTTCCGGCTTTGTTCACCGTTTCCTGGTGAATGACCTTTTTAATGGTGCCCCGGATGGCAATGCGTGCCAGGTCCTGGAGACTGCGAACTGCCAGGGGTGCTGTGGTACAAAGAACGAGACCATCAACGTCCCTCCACGTCTGAGAAGACCCTGCCTCACCTCCATCCACTGGCACATTAACAAATACGGTGCGAGAATACGGGTGTTCTAGGCAAATGTTAACTACTGCTCTCATCTGCATTCACACGTAGGTTCCAAAGATATTTTCAAATACACTAACCCTTAAAAGAGATGAGAAAAGGAAGCAATACTGCTTGCCTAATCAATCAGTGGTAGAATAAAAACCTGAGTCATGGTTTTTTGGTTCTCTGGCAACCAGTTTCATTACCCTATTCACTGTGATCACTGAGGCATTCTGTCTCATCCTCACACAGAGACTGCAGGACTCCAGCATTCTTTTATCTATTTTAATTTTTCATAGTACCTTAGAAATTTAGTATTTGTTCCTTTTTTATTACAACAGAGACAAAGCAGTTCCAAAACATTTTTAAGAAGAATGAAAATCTCAAACCACATAAAGGAAAAATAAAATCCGGCAATTAAATTAAAGCTCAACTGAATGGAGGCAAGACACACATGGTGACATACAGGCTTTTCTGAGGGAAAAGAGTTACAGGGATTGTGTGTTTAAATACATTAAACTGAAAATCAGCATCATTCTTTACTTCCCGGGACCTAACTTCTCCAAAAAACAACCTACCCCATAGGGAGGTTCCTAGGCTGCCCAGGTCACAGGCCCCCACCTCTGCTGCTCTGCCCGCTGCTCCACCGTCCCTGCTTTGTCCCTCCAGGACATCCGGCACTTACCCGCTCCTGAGCACCCCTCATGGCTTCCAACTCCAAGGCCACAGCCTTTCCTCCTCTCACCCCCCCGTGCTGTTGTCCTGAATCGACTCCTTCACAGGCCAGGTCTCCCACCTGCCAGCTCTGGCCCCTCCAGCTCTCCCCCAAGGTGTCCCCTGGCCCAGGTGTCTCTTGCTATCTCTTCCTCATCCACCCAGCCTAGCAGTGCTCCCTTGAGAGGCCCCCTCTGCATACGCCTATTGGTCCTCGGTTTTACATCCATCCCATGGCTTCAAGTGACAGAGACTAGCCAAAGGCTCCCAGGATTCTCATCCAGGCCTGACAGGTGTCTGAGCCTCCCACAAACCAACACCCAAAACAGAGGGCAGACACCCCAGGCTCCCACATCCTTCCTCAGAAAAGCCCCACGTGCCTGCTTGAGTCCTCGCCACTGTGGAGCCCAGCATCTCAGTCTCCATCTTTATCTCCTGCCTGGAAAATTCCAACAGCCTCCTAACTGGTTCCGGCCTCGGTGTGAGAGCTGCCCCTGCCTACCTGTTCAGCACACATCCACACCCTCACGACTTCTATACGCACTGTCTCCACTCACGGTTGTTCTACTCCATTGTCTTCATCAACATGACTTTCCTGGTCTAGAAAACGCTGGCCCAGGAAGATAAAGTTACAAGTAATTGGACAGTTCACCTCAGGAACCCTAAACAGCATCACATGATGTTCAACAGGCCACAGTGGCACTGAAGCCTTGGCCCAACGCCCGCATCTTGGGGTGCTTCCACACCACCATGATTCTTACCCAGGTGTGATCAAGCCCCCACACCAAGACACATCTTCAACCAGACCCCCAAAAAGCCTCACAGATCCCCAGGTGTGCCCTCGCCTTGCGAAACTCTGCTCAGGCTCTGGAAGGTGGTGCCCGCCCCCACTACCCGCAGCCAGTGTTTGCTCAGTTATTCTGGTGGGATTTTCAGAGAGCACACTGACAAACTCATCCTCCCCTTAAAAAACATGACAGCGCTCTACATGATGAACTCAGGTCTAACCCTCCTCCCCACCTAGCTCTTCCAAAGACCCCACTCTGACCACACGGGGGCGTCCACATCAGGCACTTGGCCTCTGCTGATGTTTCTCTTTTTCTTCTCTCTTTAGGTAGTTCCTTTTCACCCCTGAAGACCAAGCACAAACGTCCTAAAATAACCCAAAATAGGCTAAAATAGATTATAATTTTTAAGTGCCTAAAAATCACTTATAAAAATTTCCATTGGGTGGAAAATGCTCTTTAATACTGAAAGGTTCCTTATGAATTTTATTTCCCGTCAAATTTTAATGAGAGTAAAAAGATCTAAAGGGTAGGAAGGCTCTTTATACTTACGTAACTGGACAAGTCTTGATTTTCCTGACTCTGAATGGCAGGGCTGGATCAATGGAGCGAAAGAAACAGCCAGAATCTTTTTGGTTTCCCAAGCAGAAGGACCAGTACGAGTTATCTTAGTCAACTATCCCAAAGACAAAAACGAGAATATTCAAAAAGTTTGACTACTGGTAGCTTACATGTAAATATAATCATTCCCATATACAATCTAAAAAAACACAGACACACTGATAATGAAATGACCTGACAATACGGGCTCTCTAATGTGATGTGACATGAATTACACATAGCTTATTGATATTCCTGCAAATATGTTTAACCTGAATATACTCAAGCTTCTAGTACAGGAAATACATCTGATACAGAAAGAGGTTAAAGTTAACAAGAGAGGAGACAATCAGATAAGGAGAGTGGGGATTCTGATATGACAAATTTCTTGGACTCTCCAAAAATGTCAATGTTGAGGGAAACATAAGGAGACGGGGGCTATCCTAAAGCAAAAGTCATCCAAGACATACACACAACCACCTGCAATGCTTCAACCTAGACTGAACCCTGGGCTGTTGGCTCTGGTGGACGGGACTGTAAAAAGACCTTCCTGCAGTGACTGGGAACTCATGACCCCACCAGGGGGCAGCAACTATTGCAGCCAGTGCTGCTTCCTTCAAGGTGGCCTGCCACCTCAATGTGCAGGAGCTCACTCTCACTGGCGTGGGGTGCGAATATGCTTAAATGAGCTTCCCAGTGACATCACCCCATGACATGCGGACTCAGCCAGCTCACACACCGCAGTGCATGCAGGGCATCAGAGTTCTGTGAACCATAGCAAAGGGGCACCAGGAGGACCAGGTCAGACCCCACGGTCCTCCTGTGTGTTCTGTGACTGAGCCCGTCTCCAAATGGCCCAAACAGGTCACAGTCCTATTTCTGGTCAGCTCTGACACGCCAAGATTATTGCTCTCTTGTCTAAAAATATCTAAGACAGCAAATCCTCTAAAAACTAAGAATCTGTGTCCTGGATCTTAGAGCTGGAAGAACCAAGTGGCCATGTAATAGATGAATTAGATAAACATCATTAACTTACTGCATTCTTGTATACCAGCAAAATCTTTTTTTTGAAAACCTTTTCTTAAAAGGAGAATTTCTAGTTTTAATGAAATATTTGAGTATAATCAGTAAACTACACATCCCTCTGTCCTGTTCTACATAAGCTAGTGAAAACTGAACAGACGTCTTCAGTCCCCAAAGTAATCCAGATGTTGACACACATCCAATAAAAAAGTCCAGTTATTTCTGCAATACAACAAAGATTTCTAAAGTCACTTGGTAAGTAAACATGTATTTAAAACAGCATTTTGAGAAAGAGGAGCAAACGTGGGGACGTGAGCCTTGTCACACAGGACGAACTACTAAACAGCAGGCAGGACCGTCAGCAAGGCCTCTGGCCAGCAGCTCTTCCATGCTGAGAGCACTGCCCTTGAAACGACAAATGGCAAAGGTTAAAATACAGAGGATTTGATCAAGCACTTCTGGAGGAAGTCCTGGATATAGACAAAAACTAAGAAAAAGAATATCCACAGAACAATATATGCACAGGCTCTTCACAGCAGCACTGCGCCTAACAGCAAAAGGCTAGAAAGAACCCAAATGCCCATCAAAAAAATCCCATTTTATATATCAACAAAAATTTTTTAAATAAACAAAACAGGGCCAAAAAAGAATTCCTAGTTAGAATGAACATCAAATACTTAAACAATAAATGATGTATAAAACTTAAAACTACCATTTCTGGGTGGGTGGATGGAGTGTAAAAAAGGGCATGCACCTTCACTGAAGGAGGTTATCAAGAGATGTGTTTGCCTCCATCCTTTTAAATGAAAGAGACCAAAAAGAAACCAAAAAAAAAATTTTAAAAGTTACCTACAGGTGAAGGGAGCAGGGTGGCGGGGACACACGTGGAGGAAAATTCTGAGTACCCCTTATTTAGACTTTGGACTCTAACTACTTTACACAGTTATGGTACCTAAAATGTCCATCCTTCAAAACTGAACAAAAAGCAATCAAATGGGCTGTGTCGAGCCAGTGCCATAACTTCACAGGGAAGCACCATTTCCAGTGACATTAAGTGTAATAACTGTACGTCTCCAGTGGAACATAAGGACAAACGCACCACGCCCATCAAAAAAAATTCTGAACCAGTTTCAGATTAGAAATCAGATTTCTGATGATGACAGTGCTACACACTGCAGACAAACAGTGCATGGGGTGGGGCGGGGGATCAGGACTTGTGGCGAGAGAAAGGTAAAACTGATGTTAAGAATGAAAAGGTGAGAAAAACCCTCTGGTCCTGATTCTGAGTTGGAAGTACCAATAGGAATTTATGGTGTATTTTCTCTCCAAAACAACAAACCAAACAAAAATGCGCGCACATGTACGCAAACTTCCTAGCTATTAATACAGCATCAAAGATTACCCACAACGTGACAGATGTGGTCTCTGGACACCAATTCCTACTGAATTAAAAATGAATAGGAATCCTCAGAAATGGTCAATTCCAAGTTTGTGGTAAAAAAATTATACAAAATAAGTGTGGAACATCTTTTCTTACCAGAAAGCAACACAGCTCTCAGAGACGACGGAGGTTGTATCAGAGCCCAAAGGCCAGTTTGGGGAGGCTCCCACTGGCCAAGGTGGGGCAAGCTGAGCTTCAGTAAGAATCATACAATGATTAAAATATTAAGTATGTTTAAATCGATGAATTCCTTCTGAAACTAAAAAAAATCAAATAAAACCTCATTGGTCACTATCTTTGGCAGATGCTAGAAAACCAGTTATTAAGAAAACTGATCAACAAAGGTTATGTATGAATCAGAATTCTCCTTATAAAGTATACCTCAGGGTAACCAAGTAAGTAATGAGCGCATTTCTCTTTACGTAAGCATTCTACCTACTAAATGACGAGAAACAACAGAATCAGAATGCATTATTCTGCAGCCCTTAATGAAATACTGGAACAGGACCACAGTCACGCTGCTGGCATCAGAGAGAAATGGCAGGCGTGACGTCTCACACACGGAAATACGTCATGATCCCGGTGAGGATTCCTGCATCCTTTCTCTCCCCCAAGAAAGATCACACCAGAACCTAATCAAGTCTTCAGATCCAACCACCAATTTATAGGGGATACAGAGGCCATAAAGAAGAATCTGCAAAACATCACCACAGAGGAAAGTAACCTCCAAATCAAGGCTGCAGGAAACTGAAAGACTAATGCCCTGATTTCTTCAACAAAAAGACTGCAAGAAAAAAGTAAAAAAGAAAGAAGGAAAACTTACAGATTAACAAACACTGAAGAGCTAATCAACAAAGCACAGTACATAACCCTAAACGGAGCCTCATTCAAATACCTATTCAACCCAATATTGAACACAATCAGGAAACTCTCAAGGCTCGTTGGACATTTGAAGATATTAAGAAATAACTATTAATTTTTTAGGCTGATAATGGTTTTGTGATGCCGTTTTAAAAAAAAGCCCTTAACCTTTCACAGGTACAAACTGAACTATTATGGATAATTTTTTTATTAAGAACATTCACTACAGCCTTTACATCAACAGTGGAAAACCACACACCTGACGAGCAGCTGCAGGATCGGAGGATGCGCTAAGGCGACAATCCAACAGGCTGCCACGCAAGCACCAAAAACGACGAGGTGGGACGCCAAGTGACCTACAGTCATACTCACGGCCTCTGTTACTAACACACCTTGACTTCCAAACCACATGTACAATAGCCTTTTTTTAAGAGGGTATAAACTAAGAGAAAAATGCTACAAGAATCACACACTAACAGTCACTAGGGATTGTGAGCAGTTTTTCTTAATGTTCATCTCTTCTGGATTTTCCAAAATAAATGATATGATTACTTTTCAAAAAAAATGAATTAAATGCCAACATTTAAAAACTGGAGAAAATTACACCAAAATGCACAATCTTCTAATGGTTATCATTTCTGTTTTCCTTAGTTCTTTGTGACTGAGAAATTCTTCCTGACCAATTCATGTCTAATTAACTTGCTCATTTATTATAATTTGTTTTTCCCAGTGAAACACAGTATCTAAAATATACAGAAGCATGCGTGGACAAACATACTCGGACAAGATTCCCACCAAGCAAGGGATTCTAAAGATACTCACCACCATGGAATTTAAGTCGGACAAACGGTCAGAATAGGATTACTCTAACAATTTTTATACATGTACAATAATTCTAATACTAGAACAAGCAAGACCGAGTAGTTACAGAGGAGGGGGAAGAGGAGGAGGGAAGAAAGGAGGAGAGGGGAGGGAGGTGGGTCAGGGCCCATAGTGCAGGCTCTGGGAGGCCCACCTGAGTCTGTCCCGGCCCACCCAGGCGTCTTTGTGACCTGCACCTGCCTGCTTCACCTGTGAAGTGGAAGGAGTGGTTATGAGGGTCACAGGGGAGAGGTATGTCAACTCCCCAGAACAGACCCTGGCGGAGGGGTGAGTGAGCAGAAACGTGGGGTACAAAGGGTCTGACCTTCTCCTCCAGCGGCATGACGAGGATGCCCCCGACTTTGAGCAGCCCCTTCATGTAGTCCTCGTGCTCCTTCTGCACGCCGGCCCCGCAGTACACCCGGTCATACTGAGAGCGGTCCGGGGAGATCTCCAGGCAGTTGCCAGTGACAAAGGAGGGTTCGCAGAAGTCAAACCTGAGAGTGAGAACGTTTTCCACACCTCAACACACCACAGTGCAGCAAGTCTACACAGCACCTCTATGCTAAACACAGTCCATGTTCTCACTGCACGATCTCACAGCAATTTAACAAAATTTGGAGCCAGAAGCCGGAAGCCAGAATTCAGAACGGATTATACCGTTAATAAGCAGAACCCTAGAAATTCCAAACAAAATACTATGAAATTCAGTATCATAACCATGATCCAAGCTTAAATCACCCAGGTGCCAATCATCACTATCTTTTTTCTAATGAATTAAAGAAAAAACATGTGTTTGCAAACAAACACAGGCCTGTCTTCCATCAAATATTATCTTATTATCTTTCCTCTCTATTATCTTTTACTATTTTATTCAAGATCTACTAACTGGGTGAAATGAGGGAAAAATATATTTGGTTTTTCTAAAAATTTTAGTCCCTAAAGTAAGAACTTTACTGTCTTACTTTAAAAATGGCAAGATCTAGTTGTATACTACCATTTAAAGACAAACGCAACAATTCTGTTTTAGAAACAAGCAGATGATAAAATGTTGTCTCTACTGGAAACATGAAAACTGAGAAAAATAAACATTCTATTTCCTTCTCTTACTATATTGGTGAGAAATCACCTTTACGTAGGTATCATGGCTAAAAAAAAAGGTCCTCAAAAACAAAAAATATTTTTTAAATAATTAGAACAGATACATGTATCTCCCTGAGTCTCTGTCACATGAATATGAGGACCAATAAACCGGTTTCTTTCCATTTAATCCCAAGTTGAAGCTATAACTGACAAGCAGGCCCGTGGACAGATTTGACCTCACTTGTCAAAGCTCTCGCTCGTCCTGATGAAGAAGTCTAGCTTCTGCTTCGCATATTCTGTTACATCTGAGTGAAGTTCCACCCCGTGGTTCACACCAAAAGGACCTAAAAGTTTCAGGATAAGAAAACATTTAGAATTAGGGCAAGAACTCTTACTCTTCATTTTGTTATTTCATCAAATGCAATGCAATTTGCCTTAGCATGTTCACCCACAGAAATTCACACTACTGGGCCTAAGTCACCCAGCCTAATCTTTAAGCACACAGGTGAGCGTCTGCTCACCACATCGTAAACACTCTTCCCTATAACATTACCGACTCCCAGCCTCCTAAGTCTGGGCCTCTCTGTTCTCAAACTTCTAAACAATCATTTGAAAATGTAAAAAAGCAAAGTCTGAAACCAAAAGTTCAAGGCCTTGCTAATGAATTAAAGAAAAAACATGTGTTTGCAAACAAACACAGGCCTGTCTTCCATCAAAGGTATCCCCAGACACTCAAGATGTAGGCATTTCAATAATCGTCACAAAGTAGGTTTTAATCATCACCATCCAGAAAAACCCCATAACTCCAAAGTCACAATGAAACATTTTTTAATCGAAGGAAATTTATCAGTAATTGGATATAAAACTGTGAGAAAAGTCAGGAGACCACTTAGTGATGAAAATGCTCCCTCCACACACAAAAGCTTCGGGGTTCAATCGCAGTGAGAACCACTGACTCAAACAGCTGAGGTGACTCTCTATGTTGTCAGAATCCAAGCAGGCAAGACCACCTGCATGATGGGGGGCAAGGGCAGTGCCCACCCCTCTGGAGGGTGGGGTCCTCCACGCTGGGGGGCGCTGGCCACAAGAACCTCAGGCACAGAGTCTGCCCTGTACCCTGTTCCGAGGGGTGCCTGCATGGAGGTGGATGTAAAAACTCACCAAGTTCCACATTTCAGGCTTGTTAGTCTACTGCAAGTGAGTTATCCCTCAACTTTACAGAACTCTGCATGTGAAAACGATCAGGACATACAGGCCTTTATCCAGAAGACACACTGAAGTCACAGTGTAGCAAGCAACCCGAGAGCCCACCAGAAATACCAGTTAAGTGAGCACCCCTGTGCTCGCGCATGCCTGCCTCTCGACACGTGGGCTCAGTCTGGTCCTTCCTAGTGTGAGAGCCGCCACCCCAGGCCACGGCTTCCCTGGCCCCCGGACCCCTCACCTGCCCCCTCAACACCTGTCACACACCAAGCTGCTGCGAGGACTTTCTCCCATCCAACACACCCTACTTGAGAAGTCACATTTCCACTATTTACAACATCAAATTCAAACTATTCCACTTTCAGTCCCCACTGCTCTCTTGGTCACTTGCCGGAGTTGGAGAAAATTTGCCTTTATTTCCCACTCATCATATTTTCAACAGCCCCTCACCCTGTGTCAGACACATTTCTAACAGATACAGGACACAGTCCCCGTTCCCAAAGAAGCTTCACACTAAACAGAGCAGTAACACATACCCACTAACCCGCCGCAAGAAGAGACGACTAAATGAGGAGGAAGTCCAGGGCCTCGGGGGTGGGGGGGAAGGGCAGGATGGTGGCACCAAGGACACAGCACTGAAGCCGGTCCCCACCCCACCCCTAGGCAGACCAGCTCCTGCACACACTCTGCTCCTGAATCACACGCAGTTTGGGTTCAGTGCACGCGCCACTAGCTCTAAAGCAGGGGTCATGCCCTCCCCTTGCTCATTAAAACCACAAGAAACGAGTGTCCTGAGCAAAGGAGAGGAGCCCACAGAATGAGCACACGAGTGTGACAGAAAAAGGACAAAGTTCAAGGCCAGGGAGAAGGCAGCTGGGGTCAGAAAGAACAAGGACCACTGTGTCAGAAGAAAGACTTCAGGCCTCACATTTGCAGGCACTGGGAGGCCAACAAGCTTTTCACTCTGGGGTGACCTGCAGGAAGCAGTGCGAAAGGTAAATAAACCACAGCGGGGGGGGCCCAGGACACACAGCAACAGTCCAGTGCTTGCAGCCTCCCCTATAGCTCCCAGACGTCTACCTGTGAAGGCGGACTCTCAAGTTACCTCCTTCAAATACATCAAAGCAGTATGTAGTGCCCATTTCATTTCCACTAAAAACACAGCTTTCCTTCCTTCAAATGCTCCTCCCCCAACACCTAGTGAAATTCCCAGGAAAGGAGGGGCTCAGAAAAGAGAAGCAACACCACCAAGTTGTAAGCCATCTCTTTACAACTCCCAGGGAAAGTCAAGCGCAGCATCACTGGAGGTTTGTCTTAAGTCATCTTTTCCGAAGCATTTGGTTCTTTCAACAGCATTTATAATCCGATCAGTTTGATGATCCGTTCCCCCTTCCCCAAATACCACCTATCCTTAGCTCCTCCAACTTCCCAGCTTCCATAAAGGGAATTATAATGCACGAATTCTAGAATGATGGCTCTCTTCGCGAAGCAGTCTCAATCCAAATTAAGTTCAAAAAGCATTAAGCTTAAAAAAGATACACATTTAATAATCTGAGGGTAGCAAATCTAGCCTAAAACCAAATGATCAAAATCTCAAAACTTCACCAAGTTCCAAAGTATATGAACTTAAAAACAAAAGATTTCATTCCATATCCACAAAAAGCAACTGTTACTGCTAAGATTTTCTAAAGCAGCTGTAACAGCTACAAAGAAACAAAGTCCTGATGTACCTGCCAATGATTACATACAATTTTAAGTTGTTACTTTAAATCTCCAATATTCAGAATCTTACAATGACTTGACAATAACATAAAGATATTTAAGCCAAAAACTTTGCTATTTCACACACCCTATCTGCTCCAACAACCAAAAGGATGCAAACCCCCAGCACCCAGCACCCAGGGTCCGGCCTCTGCCCCTTCCACCCGAACCACTGCAGCAGCAGCTCCAGCCCACTTCCTCCTCAGAGCTACCTTGGAAAGCACAGATCTGCTCCTATCCCTCCACTCAAGAAACATTCCACCTTGCTCAGAGGGAAAACAGACGCCTTCCCCCGCTATCACATTTTGCACAACGCTGGAATTCAGTAAATCCTGTTGTCTGATCATGTGTTTCAATATTAAAAACAGCCAGTTCCCATGTACAGTCTCACAACTTATTTGTCTGTGAAACTAGGCTAAGTGGCTTCAAATAAGAGAACTCATGAAACCCTTCCCATTCCTGGAATTCATTTAAAACTAAGCAACTTACAGGTAATAACTCTTTCAGTATTAAAACAAACAAAACAAACAAAAACTGCTTGAAAGAACTTTAGCTCCCAGGGGACTTCAAAGTTGATGATTCCCTGTTTAGAGACAGAATGAGAGGGCAGGCGGGGAGCTTGTATTCATCAAGAAATCACCGCAAGGCCCAGATCTACACAATCTCCAGGTCCTCCGCTGTCCAAAATGAGGGTGTGCGGAGTAGACGCTGGTGGTGCGGGCGGGAGGGACAGGGAACAGAAGGGGTCCCTCTGGAAAACTCAGGGCCCTCCCGCCACCACCCACCTGTGACTGAGTGGACAGCACAACGCTGGGAAGGCCAAGGGCCGGCCTCTCCTGAACCGAGACAGAACCAGACTCACCAAGGATAAGCCCCACCATAGAGCTGAGGTAGCCAGTGCCACTGCCCAAGTTCAAGAACGAGAGGCCAGGCTGCAGGTCCAGGGCCTCCATCACCTCCGAGTAGATGCACGGAGCAGAGAGATGGATGTTGCCGTGCTTCCATGCCAAGTCTTTATAGGCATTTTCCTTAAATTCCTCCAGATAGTAATCTGCGCGGTCAACAGCTCGGAAGGCCTGCTCCACCAGCTCAGTCCGGATGTACTGCGCCTCCTTCAGGTTGTCTATCAGCTCATCATTGTCCTCGCCGGCACTCACGGCACCCCCCATCCTCACACGCGCGGTGGCAGGGCTGCGGCTGGACCGGTGTACAAGGAGCCGAGCAAGTGAAAGGTCAGAGCAGAGCAACAGAATCCTAAACACATACCAACCTCAGACTCCGAACTCTGAAAATACAGATGGAATATATTTGGTCAAAACCCACCGACTCTTCCCACTCCCAAGGATGCCAGTTTCAAAACAGAAAAGTTAAA